AGTTATTCAATTATCTTCAAGATTAATTTACATAAATATTCAAAATATTTTGTATAAATGTTATACTATAGTGTAGTCTACCTTATTACAATCTTTATAGGCATCAACATCATTCTTATACCTAAATCATTTGCATGTAAAGTGGTTGTACTATTTGTTCGGAAGAATACTTGCAAACACAATTTAAAAAAATTATTTGTAGTTATCCCCTTAACAATAATCGTTTTTTTTTTCAAACGAAATGATTACTTTTTTTTACACAAAAATAGTTGATTTGATAAATTAGCTAATTGTTAAATAAACACTTTATAAAACTTGAGAGAACATACCTGCTTTTTATTTTTCTAACGCATTTTACTTCTTATTTACGTTAAAAAAATTGATGCAACCATTAGCATATGAAGTTGATTAATTAAAAATGTTTTGATTGACAAAATTTTTATATCATCTCTAAAAAGATTCTTATGCAAAACGCGAACTGTTGCTATGAATAAATTGCCAACATTTTGGATAAGGCCTCTCGGGCCGTATCATCATCATCATCATCATCATCATTATCTAATGTGAAAAGGATATTAATAAATGTGAGAATATGCAGAATAGTTATTAAGAATGGAACACTAACCAATCTCATGATCTCCATCACTACCATAAGTAGATGATTGTTGTGTTGGATCTTTCCATGATTCTTCTATTGATTGTGTTGATTGTGGTGAATGTGCATTCTGTTCAACATCTTCCGCCTCACAATCAGACATATTTTCTAAGATAGACAACGCATTGGCAATATCTAAATCTATTAATTTATGGTTTATATGTTCTCCTTGTAGATCAAATAAATTAGATGATTCAGCGTCAGGTAGTTCCAACGAAGAGAATTCAGGCACTTCCGGAACATCAAAAATTGGCATAGTTGGTGAATACAACCCGCATGGTTCTGAAGACCGAATATCATAAGATCTAGGTGAATTTTGATAAGAAGCAGATTGAACTTCGGGAACTACAAATGAATTCATTGATTCCACTGAAATATCATTGTTCGTTGCGGTTGACATTCCAATTAAATTAAGCTATCATAAAAAGCCATACCTTATTAATAAAGTAACGTAAATTCAAAGTAAGAGCGGACATAAATAAAAAACTATATCATACCTCTGATTCCATATTTAAATCAGTAAAACATAAGGGAGTTGACGTTTCTTCGGAAGTTATATCGCTATTATTACCAAGCATTGCGAGTAAAACAGCTTCCTCAGTTTTCAATTTTGACTTTTGGCTATCAATATGATCCAGTATAAGTTTCAAATGTTCCATTTCCCTTTTGAGTTCATTTTCAAGCTGTAGATATACATCCCTATAAGAGTAATTTATTTAATATATATAAATCAGGCAACAACAGCAGACGAAAGTATATTAATCACCTTATATATGCCGATTCCTTTTCCCCTCCTTTGGTTTTTGCAGAACGCTTCATAATAGGACCATTACGAAGACCGGACCCCAATTTGAACTGAGAATCACTTGGCGGCATTCTACTTTGCTTCGAAAACCAGCATAATGCTCTTAGGACTAATTTTTTTTTTATAATTCGAGAAAGCCGGCCTGCATTAACATAATGCAGGATGCACATGATTTTGAAAAAGTTGAAGAATTCATATGATTGGTTAATAACATCACTGATTAGCAATTAATGGTTGTTATATTGATTCTAGATTCTAGATTTCTGTATTTAAACACTGTACCGGATAGAACGTGTTCGGGGTTATTTGGTTAATTTACAGTTTACGTATAACTTGATGCTCGTAGACTTTCCCGATCTGGTTATCAGTAAATCTCACGTTATCGCTATACACGTGACGTAAAAATTTCGTGTATAGATCTGTAGATTTTGCAAATATTTAATCTTCCTATATAAAAAAAAAAAAAAAAAAAAATCCATAAGACACGATGGTTAGAATTTCAGTTTTGGTATGTTAACATTTACTTACGGTGTTTATAATATTGTGCTTATGAATCGTGCACTAATAACTTGTCGCTTTAGAACGACTGTCTTAATAATATTGTCAATGCGGAAAAACGTGGCAAACGTCAAGTGCTAGTCCGACCTTCGTCTAAGGTGGTCGTCAAATTTTTAAGTGTAATGCAAAAGCATGGTAATAAATTATTTCATTCATTAAATGTAATTTTTTCAAAAACATTGATTATCTTATTCATCGAAGTTATAACTGAGCAGGAGTTTCTTTAATTTTTATTCACTCTTGTTTTTTAATGCTTCGAAATATTAATACGCTTGAGAAAGTATCTTACACGCCAATTTGTCTTACAATAAACATACGTTTCGGTGTTTTGTACTTTCTACATTTATATTTTGCCATTTACATTAATTAACAAGATTTTTCGTATTTAAATCAGAGTATATTGGTGAATTCGAAGTAATTGATGATCATCGATCTGGAAAAATCGTTATTCAACTAAACGGTCGACTGAACAAATGTGGAGTCATATCACCTCGCTTCAATATTAAATTAGTAGATCTCGAAAAATGGGTCAACAATTTGTTACCTTCACGTCAGTTTGGTTACTTAGGTAAATACATAATACTAGATTTATTTGTTTATAATATCCAAATGTCTTTTCCATCCAACTGTCTAATCACATCTTTTTTATAAAAAGTTTTAACCACAAGTGCTGGAATTATGGATCATCACGAAGCTAGACGAAAGCATATTGGTGGAAAACTTCTTGGTCTGTAATTAATTTATTTATTTTTTATTATGAATGTCTTTTTTTAAATATTTATTATCTGATATATATTTTGGAAATTTTTTTTTACAGGATTCTTCTATTGAAAACAAAAGTCTTTATAATATATGCAGTTATTTATCTGATACTGTGTTCGCATATAATTTTTTAAAACTTGCTTACAGGACGCTTAAAAAAAAGTAATAAAATCCTTATAACAATATAATTATCTGTGCTTGATTTTTTTTTTTAAATGCAATCTTTAAAGTTATGATATCAGCTTCGATGTTTTGCATTATTAGATAGTGAAAAGTAATCTTTTTTAACATAAAATCTAACTCTAAATTGAGAATAAATGGAATAATAAAATTTATTTATTAGAATTTATCTTTAATCCTTTCAATCTGATAAACAAATATTGTTCTTTACAAAATTCTGAATATAAACATAAATGCATTATACAGTATAAAGAGTCTAATTTCAATATGATTATATGAATTTAGAATCTTTAAATATATTCTCAGGATATCAGATTAAAAAAAGATAAATTGATAAATGATCAATGTCCGAAAGATTAATGAATTATAAAGTCAGATTATAATGAGGAATACGCTTCAATTATTCAGCTTTTTTGCGTTGCTCCATTCTGAATTTAGTAATCGCCTTACCAACTTTGTTTTTCACCCTTTTTTGTAATTCTGTTCGATATCGGAAGGTAAAAAGAATTTCTAGCCAAACAAATAAAGGTGCGAGGAGGAGGGCTACCGGATAATAAATAAAATTAGATTATTTCATAAATAAGTATGAATATAGTTAGTTTACAATTTTGTTATACAGTTATATATCTTTAAATAATAAAGATAAACGGAAAGAGCAAACCTTGAATCAAATTATCTTTTAGCGCAGGACTTCTTTTCTCAAAAAATCCATGACCAATAAATTGTATGATCCAAGAAGTAACATGTACAGTTAAGGCAATTGTAATGTTGTTGGGGTAGGCAGCGGCAAAATTTGTGGCATTATGTGCCATGTATAATAAGAGGGGGGCATAGAGAGCCTATATGATGAATCAGGAAACATAACGATGACTGATGAATTGATATTTCACTTGAAATAAACGATGAATTGATATCTAACTCAAAACAAATCAATAATCAGAACTCACCCCTGCAACGGGCTCTAGCAATATATAATATGCAATATAAAATAACACGGCAGGTAGTGCCGCATTTGGTACCAATGGAATTAAATGCAACAACGAATTTGAATCATAAGGTAGTAATGGACCCGAGTTTGCAGCCACGACTAAACTGGTCCATAAGATGAGAGGAACAAATACTAAAATTTGACGAAAGTGAACATATAGCAAGATAGGTTGTAAACTTATCAAACGAGAGAACCGTTAAAAATTTAAACTATGTCAAACAATAAAAGCTGCCCTGTACCGATATGAATAGCAACGTTAACCTTATTGTTATGATATTGTCCGTAAAGCACAAGCTGTTCTTCCAAGTCTAAAAATTTTAAGCCCATAGCGATTATAAATTAAAAGAGAGATTTATGGACAAATTTGCTTTAATCGATTAAAGAATAAATAGTTCAAAATTGATACTTATGTAGATTTTCCCGTGATAGAAAAGTCACACCACATTATTAAAATCCAGATTATAAACAAACCAATTCTAAAAATAGCAATCGAAAAAACTGTCATATGAAACATCTTTGCCTTTTACACGCGATTCTAAATTCAGCCCCTATTCCGGCAAATTACCATAAAAATTGTACGTATAATAAAATTAATAAACCTCGAGAGTTTACAACTAATACGTATTAACTTTATTTTATTTAACAAACTTCCAGCATTAGAATCTTATAAATCTTGTATAAAATATAATGTTTATAATAACTATATTGTCACATACACTATATATATATTAAGAATTTTGCGGGGCTAAATACCCTACGGGATTAAATTTGACTCATTTAAAAGTGTTCTACGATATTATTTTTTTTCACATTTTTGGTTCCATTTAGAACGTTTGTGACACCTACCTACCTAAGTTATCATCGAACCTTAATTAATAGAGTCAAACCTCTCTACAGTCACGCTTTCGGTTCCAAGAAATTCTTTGCTTATAAGAAATTGTGCCTGTATAGAGATCAAATTTCTTATGTTTTATATAAGTTTGTTCTAAAAATAGTGTGCTTATAAAGAGGGTGTGACTGTATGGAGGGCAGGCTGTATTATTAATAATATTTCACAAATCTACTTTGCGTCGTCGTTTAAACGGGATATATTTGTGCTCTTTTGAAGCGTTCTTTTTCCTTCGCTTTTCAATAACTCTCTCGAGCACTTTTGAATCAGATTTTTGGAATTTTTTAAATTTGTCAACAAGTTCCAATTTCTTTTCTTCGGCTATATTGATGAACATAACAATATTATTAATGACAGTCAATTAATGAAAACGATTGATAGTGGTAAATAAATTTAATTGATTAAAAATGATCTCACATTTCTTGATGTAAAATGGTGATTTTCCTTGGGCAATAAGTTCACGCTCTTTCTTTTTCCGTTCTCGTTTTAATTCCTTTTTTCGATTTAAATTATCTT